AGAACAGTTTAGTAGATCGGGGGGCGACGGAAAATTTCAAGAGTAAGTATTACGACGATAAGCAAGTGGTAGATTGGAAGAAGCTGAAGGCAGTGTTGGATTTCAGAGAGTTGAGGAAGGGGAGTTTTGATTATTTAATTTCATGGCAGGGTGCCACGGTAGGGAATGATACGTGGGTTTCTCATTTACATTTCCCTGCTTCTCTGACAAGTTATTTGACTAATTTTAGAGATTCTCATGCAAAATACTACAAGAAAAATAAAAAAAAGGTAGGGACACTTTAGAGTATAAGGGAGGCCTGTTTTGTCATGACTGATCCGTAACTTAAAGTATTGGTAAGATTTATATAATTATCTATCGAAAAGTTACTTGATGACGTATAGTATATATCTTATTTAGATTATAAGATGACATAATCAGTATTGTTTATGTAATCTTCTTGCAGATGATGTCATCTGTGAAGTTTTGTTGTCGTCATCGGGTCTGTGCTTTGAGTTCATATAGTCTGATGCTTGTTCTTCCTCTCTCTGTTCTTTCTCTTTCTTCATCGCGATATTTCTTATCATCATCATCATTTAGATTTACATTACCTATAGTAATAAATCATCAATCTTATCTAAATCATCGATTAAAAACAAACTCCATTAGAGTTATTGAGAAAACATTCGACTACTATATTCTTACCTAGGCGAGTTACTCTCTTGAGTAACTTCACAGTCACTGGAGATCTAGGAAGTAGTAGGCCGACCCTCACACCCATGTGGCCGCCGCCCTGGCGTCGTTCTTCCTATTGTTTGCATGGAGACTCGAAAGCCACGAGACTGCTCCCGGTCGAACATCGGCCGTAACCGGTTTCCCAGTTTAGCCGGGCTCTCCGCCTTTTTATTTAAAGCGCCCCATGGTCTGCGTGGGCCCAACCGAGGGATTCGAGTCAACACCAACTCCTGCAACTTTGATTAAAATTAATCGCATCGTGAGTTACTCTCCGAACATAAGACTCGAAGTTTGCTCAACTCCGTGCTTTACTTGCAAGCCGTCATTCCCGCTAGCATTCACTCGCAAAGTGATATTTCGCAAACCATAAGGTACGCATAAGGGATGTCATTTCTCCATCACATCTTTGCTCAACTTTCATCGCATTATCTCGTGTTCGAAACTGGTCAGGAATTGCTTGGAACCCAGTCGCTATGAACCTCAAGTTCCTTACATCATTAGCCATCCCCTTCGCCATTGCATCTTCCATTGTAGGGGACGCCGAAATGGACTGTCCCACCGACAAGGCCAGATGTGTCGATGATATGAATCAATCTTGTACGTGGACTGTGCTTCATGACTCTTGTTACATCACTCTGAAGCATGTGATCGATATGCTGATTTATGATCTGCAACTGCTTCTAAACAGCCATTCCAGCCACGCCGGATGGACCTGCGGACCAGCATCACTTCCATTGCTCGAATGGATACACCATCGTATGCGACAAGTAGCCAGCTCATTGTTTACATACAATTCAACAGAAGTGGTATCTGCCCTGGCGTCCCAGAATAGCAACATGTCAAGTTTTGAAGTCCACCGGTGTTGAAGTAAACCTTCTCATCGCATTATCTCACATGTTCCGCCCTTTCTTGCAAATTGCAATCAAAACCCAAGTGAATGGTGCGAAGGAGAATCATCACAACTATGCTGGTTTGATCCTCACCCTAGCCTCAACTTGTTACAAGTAGTAAAAAAATCTCCCATGTGAGATGCGCAAAGAAAAAATCTGGCATCTGAGAGCTTGAATTCTTAATTTCAATGAGTTGTTGGCAGCCGGAGAGGGGTGTCAAGGTGAGCGGGGATAAATTCATGAAATGAGATTGAAGTTTCAAAGCAATCGTTCCAGTAGTCTTCAGTTGATGAACAAAATTGGCGCCCAGTGGAGGATAGGGAGGATTGATTGTCATTGCTCTCAGTTGGTTAAGAGTCCAACAGGAGGTATATGTCTAGCTCAACCTTGGCGTGCCTGTAGACATTCCTCTGGACGATTTACTTTACTACAATTGGTTGAGCAACTGAAGGCTCGAGTGGTTCTGAAAGGGGTAGGGAGTTTAATCCCAGGAACAACATCTTTGGGGTATAAATCTGCTCAGTATTCGCCACGAAAGTCAGTAAAGCAACACAAAAAACTAACACTTGGACATTTTAAAGCGACACTGAGACTCACGTGATTGATTTGCTTAAATGGCAAAGTAAGAGAGTATCTTGTAGAAACCGTTGAGTTTTTTTTTTGAGAATTGTTCAAGTGAAGACGCGAGAAGATTTTGAGTTAATTTTTCAATGCTAAAGGTGGTTAATAAAAGCCGGTGATGACAGCGGATGAAGGATAAGGAATGAAGAAAGACGAGGACCCACGGGCAAGAAATGCTGGATTTTCATCACAGGCGTGGCGGCACAGATATCGAAACCGACCAGAGCTTGCCGGGATGGTAAGACAAATCTCGATTCAAACTGATGGCCCACCTCAACGGCCTTAACGCTTTTGACGCCGAGATCACGGAATCTCTCAGCGCGCCCACCCGATAATATTAATAGCACATTCTTTTTTAGTCTTCGGTTTTCGCGTCTAACTCAAGACAGATCTTGCTTGATTGGCGGATGCTATCAGAAGACACGCCGACAAATGCAATGCGCCGGGCGAAAAGACGCGTCAAAAGATATTAAAAAAAACTAGGTTGGCAGATTTTCAATTATTCTTTTCGCAATCAGATTGATGCCAACGTAGTTTTGTCTTTTTTGGGGGGCTTATGTAGAAGTCACATTTGGAGGACATGACTCTTTTCCGTCAACCTCACTAAACCTATCTTAAAGCAAATGCCCCTTTGGCTCTTTCCATCGAGATTGGCAATAGCATGGCACTAATAGTTGAAGGTAAATGTGCCTACAACACTTGTCAGCTTGTTGAGGATTTTCATATCCCAAGAACAGAGGGCCTCAAACCTATTCACGTTGACTGGGAGATTGGGATCAAACTGTCATCAAGGGGAACTTGCAGGAATCAATATCCATCCTCGACGTCTTGCCGACGTCACCGGGGCTCTAGGGACAAGGGATTTCTCTGACTATTTTGCGCACGACCTGAAATCCCTTTCTCGCTCCTACGCTGTATCCTTTGTCAGGAACAACTCGAACATTGCAGAAGTTAAACATCAACAGATTCAAAATCCGATAATTTCAACCTCTCTCGAAATTTTTTCCCATGGTGGTCTTGTGCTTAAACACAGGGGATGGCTTCTACCACAGCAACACCTGGAAGTATTTTCAGCATGGTTGATTAAGCTAATTAAGGGGAGCGTTTCATTCTTAGACAAATGGGGTGCTGATCGATATGAAAAACAAAAGAAATCAAAGGTTCATGAATGTCAAGACAGTCCACAAAGATAAAAATTGCAATCTCGACACATAAGAAAAGATGAGTTGTATATCAGCAAGGAAGCGTTAGATAACTCCAACCAAAAGCAAACAAAATCAAGGAGCAACATTTTCATCGTCATTCTCAGCTATAGTTTCTGTCCCATTTTCGTTGAGATTCAAGCCATCCATTTCATCGAGCAATTCGTCCAATTGAATCTTGGGGAAATCGTCGTCATCCATTTCAGTCTCAGCCACGGATTCAGTATCTGCCCCTTCGAGGTCCATGGCGTCTGCTGGAAGTTTCTTGCTAGCTGGCTGGGCTTTGAACAATTGTACATTTTGACGAAGTTCCGGATCTTCCTCCAAGTCTCGCAAGAACATTTCGTATTCCGCTTCAACCTTGGCTTGTTCTGCTGTTCCTTTCCCACTCTTCTTGCTAGCCGCGTCAATTTTACCTCGGCCTAGACCGACGTGTTCTTCTGCGGTGGTGTTCGCCTCGATGGCTATCGACTTCAGTTTCCAGTTTCGAGGCTTGTTCTTCTTTCGGCGGTTCGGGTAGGTCTTTCTGACGAGAATGATCTCAGGAATCCGGCTCGGATTGAGAGCGTCATAGCTGGGATCGTTGAAATTTGAATTGGCAAGATGATAACCACGGACTGTATCACCAGGTTTCAAAATACCGCCCATGTGAGTACGAGTATGGAAGATCACATCGTCGTTCATCGATGACGAGACCGGCGAGACCTGAGCATCGGCCAGAATGAAGCGACCACAGGTCACGGGTGGATGACAGGTGGGTTCGATGTCAAGCACGACGAATTCAATCGATTGGCCCAATGATGCCAAAGATGGGAACGGGTTCTTCCAATACAGGACACCAGATAGATCGACGAATTGTAGGGTTATTGGATCAACGAGATGGATCGAAGTGCCGACACGAGTACAGGCTAGCAACTGAGAGATATTTCCCTGAGCTCGAGCCAACTTGGGCGGTAGACAGACGATGTCGTCCTTACAGATAGGTGCGAGTTCGACGGAATAGGTGAATTTGTAGTTGGCCGTCGAGTTCTTCTCATCGGCCGAAATCAGTTGCTCACTCGACTTGGACCGCACGGGGGCGATGGCGTTCAAGAACTCGACCATCTTGAGGGCATGCTGCCTGGTGGCATAGAAGAAATCGAGGCCGTCCTTTGACTCTTTGATCGCCACTGTATCTTTGTCGGCGTTGTGCTTGAGGATGATTTGTTCGAGATACAAAAAGGTACGTTTGTGATTGACTTTCTGTCGTATTTGAACCAACGCTCGCCACATATTCTTGGCGGCCAATCTACAACAAGCGGGACATTGAGTATGCTGAACCACATACTCCACCTCGAAGATTTGCTGCAAGACTGTCGAAGTCAAAACCTGAAAACGGATGAGAAGTTTGCATATATGATTAGAAGGCTAATTTATTCTGCTGTTTATCAGGGTCTTGCCTTAATTCAAATCAAAGGACCACCTTTACTCACTTCCTGTTGAACGGTCAGTTTTACCCTGAGTCGTTTACTGTGAGGTTCAGTCCAAATGAAGCCAGCATCGACCAGTCTGACTTTGCTTAAGCCCTTGAGTCTCCTCAAGCAGATCGCCAGTAGTTCCTTGCTTTCTAGTTCGGCCAGCAACCAAGCCGAGGGCGGCGAAAGATATCTGGAGCAATTTCTACAGAAACTGAGAGTGTTCTGCTTTGGAATCTCTGCAGTGATGTCGATCGTATTTCTCAAACAGCTGACACATCGTCCAGCGCTGTTGGGTTCGATTGCGGTTCCTGTGAAAATACGTTTTAGTACGAGTTTGAAGACGTTCAAGGAGAGAGATGGCTACAGTCCACTTACCACAATCAGCGCAGAGGACGTGCCCAACCTGCGTGGCGGTCGGGATGTATTGGGTCGTATCCGCATCTATTTCCATGTCCGATATTCGAGCTGCTGTTCTGGTCAAGAGGGAAGGGTGCTGTGCAATTCTGGCGGAGGCAACAGAAAAAAAGAGGAGGGAGCGCAGGAGACTGCTCACTTTGCATCAGCCGATTTGCATAAGCTGCGCACGAGAGGGGCCTGATTGGACGCTGGCCTCCTCTATGATGTAAATAACACCCCTCCGAATACAACCCTCTCCAACTACTTGCACACCTCCAAACAGTCGAGACAACCCCCTCCAATTATAAATCGCAACATCGACAGACACGACCTAGTTTGATGGCACCTACTCCCGAATCTGAACAACGTGGCCTGCCGATCTTGAACAAGGCGCAGATACTTGATGATTTGGGTTGTTTGGGCAAGGACCGTGAATTTGAAAGACGACTATCATCGAAGGCAACGACGACCGACGGAAGCCTAGAGGAACTATCACCGGCCCAAGTCCACATTCCTCTACCGTCTGAACGACCCGAACAACCCACGAACCTCTCAGCTGCTGTCAAAAGTGCTGTCCAGTTGCTCCATCTCGATCACCAGTTGACTCAAAGAGGTCTCGAAGTTGAACAGCGGAAAATCGGGGATCGACTTGAAGAAAATCGAAGAAAAATAGACCATTTACTTCGGGCGTTAAATCAATCCAGCTTGCTTCACTCCTCCCAGCCAGCTTGTTCAACATCTACCGAAGAACCATCAACCTAATTATCTCATCCATGCTATCCCAACGATAGCCTTTGTTTGTATTACCTGTTGAATTCTTCTCAACAACTTCACTATTCGCATTCCAAAATATCTTATTCAAACTTCCGATGTAATTTTTTTGAAGGGTGCTTCATCATCATCGAAAAAGGTGTTGCATCTCGGCTTGCATTAACCACACTGTACTTCTTCTTTAATCGATCCCAGAGTTGTCGAAACGGCCTGTTTCTTGTACGCAAACATGATTGAGTGTATCCTCTGATCCGCAAACTGGTCAGTGGTGCAGTATGTAAACAATTAAGGCTGTGACCCGAAATGAAGCCCCGAGGCCTGACCCCGGCGCACGGAGCATTGGGTTGACCTCAATTTTCAAAGACCCTGGTGACCTTGTTTTTTGCCGATTTGATTTAGCATTGCACACTATGTATATCTAATCTTGCAACCACTGTTGCCACGGGTCAAGCCCTGTGAAGGATGAATGACATGAGTGTGAGGCTCAACCTATTTCTCTAACTTCTCGTGACTATGAAGATTACCAAGAGGTAATCTCGCCTAAAGTTAAGAGTTAGATAGTTTAAGAATCTGGATTTCTCTGGCGATTGCTATGAGAAATAAGACTAAAGTTTTTATAATAATAACTTGATTTTATTGTACTATGATTTTTAGTAACATAAATGTAATGACAAATAATAAAATAGAAATATCGAGATAAGAGAAAAAGAAGAGGAGGAAAGAAAACAAAAGATCGAGTAATATATATGAAAATTTAACAACCACCAGACAAGATGATCTTTGATCATTCATCACGTCATTGAAGAATAATAAATCTAAATCGCCGATAAGATAACTCGTCATCAGAAATCAAACATAAAGAGAAATTTGCATGACAACATCCTAACGAAAACATCATTTTACCGAAAGAAATAACCAAAACCGTAAATTAGCAAAACATTGTTACAAAATAGCCTTACCTATTACCTTATTTTGTCCAGCGGCCTTTTCCGCCTTCTTTTTCTTCTTTTTGTATTTAGCCTCATAAATTTTCTTGAAAGAATCAACAAAATGACGAGCTGAAACTGGAATGTGTTTATCAGCAACCCACGTATTGTCGCCCATAGTAGTGTCCTTCCAAGCAATCAAGTAATCAACCTTACCTTTACTTACCACTCTTTCATCCAAAATCACCCGAACCATACTCCAATCCACTACTTCATCCTCATTGTAATACCTATCCTTTGTACCAGAAATCAAACCACAATCAGTAATAATCACAGGATCTTGATATCTTACCAACAAAGAAACGTTAAAAACAGGATGCAGCTTAGGATAATCCTTCTCGATATCTAACCTTACCGCTTTAGGACCCACCATCTCAACAACAGAGAAAGGCCCCAAATACCTATAATCTAATTTAATATTCAATCTTCTAGTCTGAATAAATTTCCGAAGCAACAACACCTTCTCCCCCTTTACATAAACTGGCGCATCTCGTTTACCTTGATTGTAATAAAAGGCTTGCTTGATACGTGCCTGAGTCAAACATTCAATAGCGGTTTCCTGCGTTACCTGTAAATCTACTAAAAAATCATCCAACTCCTTCCTTCCAGTCGACTCAGTAATAATATTAAACTTCGGATGATAACCATATGTAAAAAAGAAAGGAGAAACCTTCAAACTTGCAGAATCTAAATTATTTATAGAGAATTCAGCCATGTCCAAACTCTTATGCCAATCATCTTGATAATAAGAACAGAAGTGGCATAAATAATCTTCCACAACCTGGTTCATCCGCTCAGTTTGACCATCCGTCTGCGGATGATAAGCAGTCGATGCCCCTGACTGAATACCCAATGATAACATAAGAGATTTCCAAAAATCACTCACAAATGTACTCCCCCTGTCCAAAACTATTTTGTCAGGAAGTCCGTGAAATTTAAAAATATGTTTGCAAAACAAAGTTGCCAATACCGCAGAAGAACCCAACTCATTACAAGGAATAAAATGAGTAAGCTTACTCAACAGATCAATGATCACGAGAATAGAATCAAATCCCCCCGAAAGCGGTAACTTAACAATCATGTCCATTCCTATCACACTCCAAGGTCGAGGAGTAGGAATAATCGACACCAATTTCCCATCTGCTGCACGCCGCCGAGCCTTAACTCGTTGACAAGAATCACAACTGTTAACAAATTTGATGACTGAATCCTTTACCGCGGGCCACGAAAAACTGCGAGTCAACAAAGACAAAGTTCGCGCAATGCCAGGATGCCCTACAGTAGGAACATCATGATACATCTTCATTATCTTGGTACGTAACGATGCCGGGACAAAAATCCTACTAAAATGCCAATAACAACCGTCAATAAGCTTAACTCCCCGCATATTTTTTTCTGAATCAGTATAATTTTTTTCAAAAAATGCTAGCAAAGGACGACTCGGCCTTTGAAAATGTAAATCATGCCACTTTGCACCCACAGGACCAGAAGTCACTCCATGAATAGAGACCATATTTCTAGTAATCGAATCTGCATCTCGCCGAATAAACTGATCATCTGAATAGTCCTCCCGTCGACTTGGAGCATCGGCAGGATTCTTAGCGCCTGAAATATGAAAAATGAGCATGTTAAAGTTGTCTAAATAGTTAGCCCACCTTGCCTGTTTGGGAGATAAATTTTTAGCAGTTTTAAAATACAACAAATTTGAATGATCCAAAAATACAGACACCAGATTTTTTGTTCCCATTAACCAAGCTCGCCATTCCTCAAAAGCCAATACAATCGCCAGCAACTCCAAGTCAAAAATAGGCCACGAGCGTTCCCGGTCCGACAACTTCCTTGAAAAATAACTCACAGGCTGAAAAATTCCTTCAGAATTTGGTTGACTCAATACCGCAGCGATGGCATATCCAGAACTGTCCACATGAACAACGGTGGGCCGCTACGCTACACTACGCTATTTGGCCACTACATGTTAGCGTAGTGGCTTTTTTTTTTCTGGAAATCCTGTAGTGTTAGTTCACGCTACACACCGCTGAGCTAACTGCCAGCGTAGCGTGAATTTGTTCCCTCAAATTTTTTTTAGTGTTAGCTTGAAATAATTGGCGCTAAACTAACCAGTAGTGTAACTTTTTCCACGCTAACAAAATTTCCGCTAACCAACAGCGTAACTGTGGGTGCAGCTAACATGTAGCGTAACTAATCCCCAGTTACGCTAAACTACACTACACTACATTTACAGTTACACTACAGACGGTAGCGTAACTGCAGCTGTAGTGTAGCGTAACTACCTGATACCCATTGAGCGTGTCATGTGGGAATTGAACCCGTGACACAAAAGTGTAGCGCTGGCATGTGGTCTGGGAAGAATTCTTAGGCTCCTCCCTGACCACATGACTAGCGCTACCCTGATTGCACTGTCTGTTCAGGCGTGTAGATCTTGCTAAGGAGCCATTATTTTTTAGATTTTGTTTTGGGAGGGGGGGGGCTGGCCTCCATGTAACCATTTTTTTGCCCCCCTCAAATTTTTTTCCGGCCGCTCCCATCCAATTCATCCTGTGTATGTACGCTTTTTTGTTTCTCCTCACAACTTCTCCCCTCCCCACTCGATCTTGCTATCTACCTCACCGCCTTATTCTTTGAGCTACCTCCCCATCAATCTTTCATTCACCTGCGCCAGCAACCCTGCCACCCCATCTGAGCTACCCCCACCTCGGGCTTCTTTCACCTGTAAGCTACCCTTTTTTTTCTTCCCTCATCGCTAACCTCCCCCTCATTGACAGAGCTACCCCCCCGTCGTTCGTTCGAACGAACAAGCTACCCCCCCCTCAATCTTTGCTTACCAGTAAGCTACCCTGTTTTTTTTCTCCCTCTCATCCGTACCCCTCTTGCATATTGAAAGCCCGTACC